GTCAGGGTTTCTTCCACCAACCCATTTATCTCCCCACAAAGGGGATCCAAGTAGTCTCTGTCCTTGTTACCAACCCTAATGGCGATGCTTAGATGCTGAATTACAAGCCCCGATTTTCCTACTGCAGACCAGGCCTAGGTGGTGGCTTGAAAATAGGATGCCTCCCATATCGCTAGACTAGGGGTTTTAGCCAGGAGTTAAGACTTCAGCTCACTGCAGGACCCCAGCACTTCCCGCTCAATCCACTTCAAGCAAGTCCCTGCGCCACAGGCATCACAGGAGCCGCACTTATTTATGAATCTTCACAGCTGGACTCGGCCATCAAGCCTGGTCCCTAGCCCTCACAGGCAATCAATAATCAAAGGGATCCCCCAAATCACCGCTGCAAACCCTCACCCCACCTACAAGGAGCGATATATAAAACAGCAAGGACACCCCATAACATGCCACATGTATAAGCCTGGGAAACAAGGGCACTGCCAATACCCTGGCACTGCAACGATAGGGAAGGAGTTACTTAAGACTCAGGAAAGAGAACCACGCCGTAGGTCTGTGCCAGTCGGACAAAGGGGAAAAACGCCTTCCTGACTGTAGACATGGTGATCGGTATGACCCTAAGCAGAACAGCAGGGTCCTCTGGGTTTCCAGTAGCAGCCCAAACAACAAAGCACCCCGATCCAAAACCACCCAGCCTGCACTGCGGTCAGCATCCCAGTGCCTGAGAAAGGCGAACTCCCCCCTGCCTCTCCAAAGCCAGGAGCATTCACAAGGGGCAGAAAAATTCCTTCCTTCCCACGCCTGACAACCAGCAAAGCCCCGAGGCTCGGGATTACCAGCTTTCTCCCAAACTAGAGCCACCTTTATGCCCTAAACCTGGGGTCTGCAATCACATGACGCTACATCATGCCGATGGAGGTGTCAGAACTCCCCTTCTCATTATTTCTTGTGATGACACCTCATGTCTCGCGACATCGTCCCTTCTGCGAACTTATCCAGTTTGATGTGAACGTACCTCATGGTCTAATTGAAAACAAATTTAGTTATATCGATGCAAAGACTTGTATGGACGTTATTTAAATAGGCACAAAGCTGGCTGGTCACCTTCGCTTAAACTACTTGGGTACAGCTTTGAGAATACAAAATCAAACTGCCGCTGAACTGAAACGAGCATCTACACCAGGGTGGGCAAAATGCAGCCCACCAGGATATTCTAGCCAGTCCGCGAGGCCCCTAAAAAGTTTAGAAAATTAATATATATCTGTCCTTGGCTACCTGTCATGTGGCCCTCGATGGCTTGCCAAAACTCAGTAAGCGACCCTCCGCCTGAAATAATTGCCCGCCCCTGGTTTACACAGAGATCCAAGTCAATTTAAGCGAACCAGGTGGAGCCTGAACCAGCACAGCTTCTACATGAAGAAGCCTTACTGTCACGGTCTGCAGTTAACGCACCTCCGTGTCACAAGTGTCTTTATTCATTCACGTGCACAAGGTGCTTTACAGCCTAGTTATCAAACAGCATCTTCGGAGCTAGCAGCAGGCAACTTAATGCCTGTTGGGCCTTTTCTCCGTCCATAAAGGAGAAACTAGGTGCAAAGTCAAGTCGCACATTTACTGGCATGACGACTTGGCCTGCACCATTCCCAGGACCAAATTCAAATGCAGCATAAGAGCACCGCACATCATCAAGGATTAGCTTCAGGGTAGAGGAGGGCCGGGCAGAGACACTATGGGTCAAGCTACAAGGGGGGCATGGCAAAAGGGACCTTACGGTGGGCGTCTACTACAGACCACCCAACCAGGGGGAAGATCTGGACCGGGACTTGTCCAGTCAGCTTATGGAGGCGGTTAGGCCAAGGGATGTCATTGTCATGGGTGACCTCAGCTACCCAGCCATTTGGTGGGAGGAGCAGACAGCCAGATCTGACCGCTCGCCTAGGTTCCTGCCTGTGTTACAGGACCTTCACCTTATTTAGGAAGTGCACAGCCTCACTAGGGGTAACGCCTTGTTGGGCCTGCTCCTGGCCACGGGGGATGACCTGGTGAGGGGACTGCAGGTCCTTGACCACCTGGGCAACAGCGATCATCGCCTGCTGGATTTCACTATCCAATGCACGGCGTCAAGGGCTCGCACCAAGGCTAAAGCCCTTGACTTCAGAAGGGCCAACTTCAATGCACTTAGGAGACTAGCGGGGGAGGCACTGAGGGCCCAGAGGGTAGAGGAGATGGGAGTCCACGAGGGATGGTTGTACCTTAACAGGGCGATCCTCCAGGCCCAAGAGATAACAGCCCCTGAGAGAAGCAAGGGGGGTAAGAGTGCTCAGAAACCCCCTTGGCTCAGCAAGGGCATTCAGCAATGCCTGAGGACTGAAAGGGGGGCGTACAACCGGTGGGAGGGAGGAGCTGTCACCCAGGAGGAGTACTCCTCCTCGCCCAGGAGTGCAGGAGGGCTATCAGGAAGGCCAAGGCAGAGATGGAGCTCAGGCTGGCGTCCAGGATTAAGGACAACAAAAAGTCCTTTGTCAAGTACATCGGGAGCAAGAAGAGGGCACCAGGCAATGCAGGGCCCCTGCAAGATGCAAACGGTAATCTTGTGGCTACGTCAAACAAGAAAGCTGATGTTTTTAACAGGGACTGGGATATCCCACCTACCAGAGGAAGGGACAATTTTGGGGATAGTTCTGTCAGGCCTTCAGTCAGCGCAGATGTAGTTAGGGATTTCTGGAAGGGCTGGACATTTTTAAATCTGCAGGTCCAGATGCCCTCCACCCAAGGGTGTTGAGGGA